TCTTCTCGCCCCATTGGTCAACGTGCTGTATTGAAGTTCGCTAAATACACCGACACCACTCCCATTGCTGGCCGTTTCACTCCTGGTGCCTTCACCAATCAAATTCAACCAGCTTTCCGTGAACCTCGTTTGTTGGTCGTCACCGACCCCAACACCGATCACCAACCCATCATGGAAGCTTCTTATGCCAACATCCCCGTTATTGCTTTCGTCAATACCGATTCTCCTCTCCGTTATATCGATATTGCCATTCCTTGCAATAACAAATCTGCTCACTCCATTGGTTTGATGTTGTGGTTGTTGTCCCGTGAAGTTCTCCGTCTCCGTGGTACCATCTCCCGCAGCGTTGAATGGCCCGTCGTTGTCGATTTGTTCTTCTACCGTGATCCCGAGGAAGCTGAAAAGGAAGAAATCGCCGCTAAGGAACTTTTGCCAGCCACCAAGGTTGATGAAGTTCTTGAACACGCTGTTGAAGAACCTTCCAACTGGGCTGAAGAAGTTGCTGTTACCGATGCTGTAGCTCCCGCCGTCGTTGCTGGCGCTGAAGACTGGAATGACGATACCGTCAAGTCCTCCTGGGGAAATGATGCCAACTTCTAAATGAAAGCATTTTAGAAGGATGAATATGATTTGACCGAAATAAAGAATGTGATTTTTTTATTTCTACAAAATTTAAATAAATGCATTTTATTTGCGAGGGATTTTAAAGTCGTGGGAAAGGGAGGATAATATATATACGGCACGGGGTGCTTAAACAAGGAAATATGGTGGTCCAATTATGAGTCCCTCAATTTTTTTTCTAATATGTTGGTCCCTCTACCTTTGTCCTTACTTAAACGTGTTTGCGTAAGTTCTATGCATCGATTCCTTTTCATACTGCTATAAGTTGTATACTAACTTTGTTCTTCCATTTGTAGCACTTCCAAATATTCGTAAAAGGCCCAATAAACATATTCTGGGCCAAATTATCGCAATCGATATAGATCGAGTTTGTGTATGCGTGTTTTAGATAAGTGGAAATGATAATTTTAATAGGATCCATTGAGATTTAAATCTAACTTTAAACTAAGCTAACATTGATATACTCAATTCAACTTAGTCGAGAATTCGTCGAAATCGAATGACAAAATTAAGCCCCTGGGACTGCATAATAAACTGTCTCCCAATATAAATGTCCCTCCGGGTTTTATTGTGGTAGACTAGAAATCGCCTATGACAATATAGGCGTAATCACCCTAGTCTGAGAACATAGCGATACAACAATGCGGTAAGTATTCATATATTAGAAATTCATCAAAAAATTGAAAATAATTTTGTTTTCCTTGCAAAAAAAAAAAGACATCTTTGTCAAAACGAATAACTTGCTGATGTAACGTCTCATCAAAGATTTCCTTTTTTATGTAATTTATTTCAAGAAAACAGCGAATGTACCAATTTTTCAAAAATGTTTATTTACAAGTTAGTCTAATAATTATATAATATAAATTCGATTTTAATAATTTTGTATATCATGAAAAATTTTAGAATTTTGTTTCACTTTTTTATTTATAAATATATAATTACAAATGTTATTAGGTAAAAAGTAATTGTGTTCAAATTTAGCCCGTAGCCAAAAATTTTGGAAAAAGTATATTTGCTTAAAGTATATTTATTCTATCCAATTTAAAATATTCCGCAATCTTACCTCTGGTCGATGAAGTATGAATCTATTTAAGACATGAAAAATATTAGGATAGAGAGAATTTTTTTCTGAGATGAGCTATTTTTTCACATGTATTTTAGTCAAATCCCAAATTTAGTGATCTAGAGTCGTCGGTGCCCGCTAAAGCATCAGGCATAGACAAAGAAGGTATTTACCAAAAATCTTAATGTTTATCCCTTCCTTTGTTAATCATGAGGCCAGTTATTTAGGGCTAGTAAAGTAACTCGGCTTCAAAAACATTTTATTCGTTTTTCTGCTATTTAAGTTGTATTCTTTTATATTCCATGACATAACTGAATAATCTAATCGTAATATAAGTCATTGCATTATTAGCAAATATTAAATATTTATACATCATAAAAATACTTGGAATTTTGTGTATTGAGAGAATTGACTTGAAGTGTTTTTTTTTTCGAAGTTGACCGCTGAGAAAACTTTTAGTCTATACCTTTATTTGTTTATGCCTCAGCTTTTGTCTTCACAGAAAGATGCCACAGAATGTTCATTTCCAGCTTTTTTATATTACTCCACTTCAGGCAATATTAAAGAATTGATTTTGTCACGAATATTTTTCCTTATTAATACCACTTTGTAATATTTTGATCGCAAAAACTTATTTTCGAATTTTCTCTTAGCTTCCAGTTTCTTATTACCATATGTTTACAGCAATGTAAAAAAGGTAGTAGACAAAATATATTGCGATCGAATGCGGTAATCCAAAAATTTACAGCGATCGAAATGTTTCACTATACGAAAAAGAACTCGATGATGAATGCGGTTATTTGGCCCTGGTTTATAAATCATACCGACAAATCTTTGTCTGGGGGTAAAGTACTCACAAAGAACTCCTTGTGTGGATTTTCAGATAATTCCATTGGGAAATGTGGCTAAAATCATATACGATATCGTGGACCTATATAGACAATTCTTTTTGAGGGGGTAAAATGCCCACAAGGGACTCCTTTTGTGAAATTTCAGACAATTCCATTGACAAATGTGGATAAAACCATCAAAATACCAAATATCGGGGGTATCGTTATATGGGGGATATACGATATCGTGGACCTGTATAGACAATTCTCTCTCAGGGGGTAAAGTGCTCACAAAGAACTCCGTGTGTGGATTTTCAGACAATACGATTGGAAAATGTGGCTAAAAAATCATCAAAATACCGAATATCGCGGGGTACCGTTATATGGGGGCTATACAATATCGTGGACCTATATAGATAATTCTCTGCCGAGGTATAAAGTACCCACAAGGAACTCCTTGTGTGGATTTTCAGACAATTCCGTTGAAAAATGTGGCTAACATCATCAAAATACCGAATATCGGGGGGTACCGTTATATGGGGGCTATACGATATCGTGGACCTATATAGATAATTCTCTGCCGAGGTATAAAGTACCCACAAGGAACTCCTTGTATGGATTTTCAGACAATTCCATTAAAAAATGTGGCTAACATCATCAAAATACCGAATATAGGTAGTACCGTTATATGGGGGCTATACGATATCGTGGACCGATATACCCCATCTTCGAACTTGACCTGCCTGCAGACAAAAGAGAGATCTGTGCAAAATTTTAGCTTCCTATCTTAATTCGTTTAGACTGTAGCGTGATTACAACAGACGGACAGACGGACGGACAGGGCTAAATCGTCTTAGAATTTTACGCTGATCAAGAATACATATACTTTGTTGGGTCTAAAATGATTATTTCGATGAATTACAAACGGAATGACGAACTTAATATACCCTCCATACTTTTTTTCGTGGAGGGTATAAAAAGTGACTTAAATCACCAAATGCACGAAATATTAGGAGATACCGTTATATGGGGGCTATAGAAAAACCTGGACCTATATAAACAATGATCTGCCATAGGAGCTAGAACTCATTACGAACTGTAAGTGCCTAATTTAGAAAACGTGGCGAAGATAAACGGAATATCGGGATTTACCGATGTATGAGGGCTTTAGGAACGGTAGGTCTATATAGACAGTGATCTACAGCAGGAGGTAGACCCTATTACGAACTCTAAGTACTGAATTATAACAATTCTATTAGAAAAGTGATTTAAATCGTCAAAATACTGAATATCGGTACCATACATCTCTATTCGTTCGTTCGAGGGGTCACAAACTGAATGACCAAGTAAATATACCCTCGATCGTATGGGGGAAGGTATTCCAACAGACAGATAGACGGGCATCGCTTAGAATTTTACGATAGTCAAGAATATATAAATACCTTGTAGGGTCTAACATGAGTATTTTGAGGAGGCACAAACTGGATGACCAAGAAAATATACCCTCTATGTATGGTGGAAGGTATAAAAATCGTACCAAGAACCTTCAGGATACCCAATAATTGAGAATGTGATCAGGATTTCCGAAATCGCACGTAAATTCGATTTTTTATTTGATTAGAACCCAAATTGTTGGCTATTTTATTGAAAATTGAAGGTGTTGCTATGTGGGGCTACATAAATCCACGTGGATCGATATAACCTATTTCCAAGGCTAAATTCTTGCCAAATTTTAAAGAGCTAAATAGAATAATGTTGGCTCTCTTCTTCTTAAAAGACTGATCAGAACTGAGACGAATATTTTGAAGTGTTGCAATCGGACTGACTTCTTTAATATTCAGTTCATATTATATTGAGGATATAAAAAATTTCAAATCTTTATCAGTAACTCATTGCCGGTTGCACCTGAACTAATTACATTTTGCTTTCAAAACATATTTGTGCTGAAATAACATGAAATCGAAATGAAATAATCGGATGGTTATCACCAATTTCTACAGGACTCGTCCTTAGGTCGAACGAATGCGCTGTGCAGTTCGATTTATGCTATATGGGTGGACAGCTGTACATAAATCAACACAAAATGTGATTTTATAAAAAACATCAAAACTAACTATGGTTATCGCCTCTTCCTTTTCATATTACAAACAAATGCACCAAGACATAATACCATGTACAATCGTCTACATATGCAAAAAATATAGTCTATACAAGAGAATATATTAAAGATTTTGTCAATTTTTTGTTGTCTAAACAGATTAGAAAATGTAATTATTACTACCCAAAAAAATTCTAAAACCATTTGCGATCGCTATATTTGATTCATACCTAACTAAATTGCTAAAAAAAATATGCATTTTAATTACCTCATTTATTAAATTCGTTAAATATTTTCTGGTCCCTACTTATTCTTGGACCTACCAGATACCTGTTTTAATTTATACATAATTGTCTTGGAAAACATCGAACAAAAACTATGCACAACATTATTATTCAATATGTATGTATTTGTGTTTGCAAAAAAAAAAAAAAAAATGTTTATTGTAATAGTAATAGTGTTATAAAACATTAAATAATTAACTGTTATACACATAAATTAATGATACATAAAATAATAATAAAAATAAGATTTATTAGTAAAAAAACAGAAGGGGAGAGTGTGTGTATGCAAGGGGGATAGAAATAGAAAACAAGAGCGCATATTAATTATTGTTGTTTTAGAATTGCTTAATAGTTAACATATCTAAAAGACAAATAAACATTTTTGTTCCGATGGAACGATAGATGATGTTAATTTGTGATTGTGTTAGATAGTTGGGTAAAATTAAAATAATAATTGCAAATTACATTATCATAGTGTGTGTGTGTTGCAATTTTTTTACACGTTCGACGAAAGAATTCAACTTTCTTATAATATCTATGTTATGAATTTAATTTTTAGTTTTAGTTTTGCATTTCAAATGTATAAAAAACGAATAATATCTTAGTGTCTAAAGGGATTTGGTCGTGCTTTAAATGTAGCAGCTTTTCTTAGTTCACGTATGCGCTCCTCTTCACGTCGTTTGCGTTCTTCTTCCTCCTGCAAATGGAAAAAAGAAAACATTATTTACTTTTAAGAATTTAATTTAGAACTAAATTAATGAAATTAATGAAATCAATAATATTAGTAATATGCAAATTTTCTAAGTTCTATAAAATGTAGTGCGGGTGGGTGAGATGAAAAAACTGCAACCAGCTTCCGACTGCTGTCCATTCTAAGCCACTCGTCCTACATCTGTTAAAATTATTCCAGTGACAGCTCATTATATTGTTTACAAGCTTACAAAAGCATTCCAGGAAAAAAGTTATTTGTGATGGAATTCAAGCGTGATAGTGTGATTTCTTGATATTTGGCTGGAAAACCACAAGTGGCTATCGTTAGAGCACTCAGGCATTTAAATGCGAATAAATCTTTTGTGGCTCGTACCGTCGATCGTTACCGTGATACTGATAGCGTAGGCCGACGTCAAGAAAGTGGACGGAAAAAAACAGCAACATCAGAAGAAATGGTTCGAAATGTGTGGCCGAAAAATGGCTCGTGAGCTGAACATATCGCAATATTTCATTCGGCAAATATTGAAAAATGAGCTCGGGGTAAAGCTATTGAAATTCCAAAAAGTGCAAGAACTTACACAGCAACAGAAAGAAAATAGACTCAAAAGAGCTAAAGAGTTGCTTTGCTTGGCCGAACGTGGTGAACTGCCGAATTTGGTTTTCTCCGATGAGAAAACATTCGTTGTCCAGCAGTTTCTAAACATGATCGTGTTTACTTGCCAAAGAGGTCAGCTGAAAATGTGCACCTTCGGTTGGCCACCAAAACTCAAGCGCCGGACATAGTGATGGTGTGGGTCGCCATAACAGCCGATGGTCGCTCTCCGCTCGTATTAATCGACCGTGGCATTAAAATAAATGCCGAATATTATCGCGAAAATATTCTGGAGGGTGTATTAAAGGCGTGGGCATGCAAACATTTCGGCCTCAGACCTTGGACATTCCAATAGGACTCGACACCATCCCACTGAGCACGCGCCACCCAAGAATCGTTACAAAATGAGGTTCCTCGCTTCATTTCCAACGCACAATGGCCACCAAAATCTCTGGATACCAATCCGTTGGACTAATGTGTCTGGAGTATTTTGGAAAGCAAGGTTGGTACTAAAAAATACCAAAGTGTCGATCACCTCAAGCAAGCGCTTCGCCGGGAATGGGCCAAAATACGAGCAGGGCAACATTCGAGCAGCGTGTGATGGTTGCATTGGCCGTTTAAAGGCCATAATTCGTGCCTAAGGTGACCAATTCGAACAAATCTAAAGGTATTCAAAAATTTGATGCTATTTCCGACATTTTTTGCTTTCATTCAATAAAATTAAAAAAATATATATAAAAATTATGGCGTTTGACTTTGTTGTAGTTTTTTTATCTCACCCTGTAATTGCGATGCATATTCATAAGAGTAGGAATTTTATGTCAATTTTTAATATAGAATCACAATCTTTTTTATATAGCTAAGAAGGTTATAACGGCTAGGATACCGGAGCAATAGTTAAACCTCGTCTGAAAATCGCTTCTCTAATAGTTCTCTTCAGTACAATAGCATTAATATTCTTCACCCAAGAAATATTAAAAAATATTTGCAGTAATTTTTTGATAGATGTATACAATGCACCGTAAGGTCTCTCCAACACGTGCTTCAAATAAACCCTCCCATTGGGTGGCTAAAGTCAAGTTTTATGATCATATACTAAATCAAACTTTTTATAAATCATTTTTCTTTTATCGTGTAGTTGTTTATATGTATGAATCCAAAAATGCAAATTGGAATTTAAAGAATTGAAGAATTTGTGCGTTTGTCGCACCCACACACTCTATGACATTTGTTTAAACACCTCTATAGTCTAAAGAAATATATTAATTAATAAAAAAAACAATAACAAACCCTACTATAAAATTTCCATGCCAAGACATATGGTTATAATTCGACACATGCTAATGAGAACACAACGGTGACAGACAACACAAAAGGGACACACACTAACACTTTTCAATTTCGACGTGAAAAAATTCCAAACACAGAAAAGCAGAACTGCAAGAAAAAGTATGGCGGCTAAAAACAAGTGAAATGTAAGAGAATTGGTCAAACACGAATGGGTGCAAGTGTGCTTTGTTGGTGCCATCCATATACATAGGTGCCACCACTAGCAGCAACAAAAGATGGATAATTATAAAGCGGTATATGCATGCGCCTGCAGATACCAAAAAAGTGGGTGGAGGTGGTACACGTTGAAAAAAAAAACAGGAAAGATGAAACTACAACTTTAATCATGTGTTACCACTTTTATTATTTTTACAACATTTTACTAAAGACCACTTGTCTTACTTCAAAATTTAGTAAAACTTGCTTAGAATTTTTTTCCCATTCGAATAATGCCTTTCGTTTGAAAGTGTTGAATCATGTCCTGCATCCCGGTATATATCCCAATTAGTTTTATTTTCGTTGTTTTGAGCTTTTATTTTCTTCATTTTACTCTTTTTTAATTATTAAATAATAATTTTTAAATTATTTTTATCGTCGCCTTTATTGTTCACCTTTCTTAAAAAATGTAATTGCATGTTGTTGGTTATTTTGCCTCTATTGACTCATTTTTTTTACTTTTGTTTTTTTTTTTTGTAGTTTTGGCTGGGGAGCCTTTTATAATTTGTTTTTTAATAATGTTATAGTTAATTATAAGTTATTTTGAATTTTTCTACTTGGTATTGAGTACCTTATTAATACAATTAATTGGCCTTGGAGGCTTTAGTATTAAGTATGAATTAAATAAAGAAAGAAAGAAAGAAATTTAAGAAAACACTAATACGGCTTTCTTTTTTACTGCTTTTTAATGCGCAGATTTGCCCGAGAAAAAGTAGAAGCATGGTTTGCAGCTTCTAAATGGCTAATGTGCTTATTTTTGAAGAATTTTAATCAAATTTTGAAATTTTTACTTTTTTTCTGTTCCTTTACTCTACGGTTATGAAAAGAACAAAGCCGTGATCTCAATATTATCATGGCTGTTGAAGTGAATATAGTTTAGACAAACCTACTTTTGTTCTACGAGGCAGCCTGATCTCCGAAAGATGAATCATGTACTCAGAGGACGGTATTCATACCAGAGTTATTCCTGACATCAGCTTCTGTATGAATGCTATTTCTATCCTGCCAGCTTGGTTTGTTGATCTGGTGTTCTCTCCTGTAACGTTGTACCTCTTTTCTCATTGTGTTGGCGTTCATATCATCCAAAATAGTCCAAACGCGTATGGGGGCAAGTATGCTTTGTTGGAGCCAACCATATACTTAGCAGCCACCAACAGCAACAAAATATGGATAATTATAAATTGGTATATGCACACGTCTGCAGATCAGTGACCGGTGGCTATTTCGTGATTTGCGGTAAAAGCTAAAAACACAGGCATTCATCTACTCCGCAAAAAAATGGTTCTGTTTAAGTTGTTTTGCATTTGTTTTCATTCCGCTCACCCGTTCTCTATATCTCCCGTTCTCCTCATTTACTAATAAATCAAACTGAGTGTTTGAAAATATAAATGTAATCCTGTGGCAATAATCAGTGGCACATGCTGAGGAATGATCCGATGTACTACGGATTTACGGTGATTCTTAGCCGGTATCTGCAGTGCAGATACCACCAAAGGAATACGTGGAGGCACACGCAGAAATAATAAACACGGAATTCGATATATTCTGATATAAGTTTGATTTCTTTACGTTCAAGGATCTATCTCTGAGACTAGTCTCAAAAAGGATTCAACCTATACGGGTCGGGTCCACAATGAGACTGGGGTTAGGTGAGTAGGTTTGGCAGGACAGCGAAATAGGTGCAGCGGGTCATGCGGACCTGTGTCACAAGCTGGGCAGATGTTCTGCATATCGCTGTCGATCCGGGCCCAATAGGAATTGAGACGGCTGCATTAATTCGGATCTTAACTGAGCCATAACTACTCAGGTTTGTCGGGAAAGCTCTCGCTCTTCAGATGCCATGGGAGGGGGAGATGGTCTCATTGTATAGTATTCACTCTATATCCTTCCATGACTTCTGAGACCGCGTTAGAGTGAATACTATTCAGTCCCGCTTGATAGGCCTGTTGATCTAGAGGCTCTCTCTTATACCTCTGTACCTCTCTCTTTAGATCATGAAGTTCTTTGCTTACAATTGCAAATGCATTCCCACGGATGCAGTTCTATGTACTGGATTGACTCGAAGGAACAAATCTTTAACCAGGGCCGCCTACCCAAATACAAATAGCAAATACTTGTTCGTACTCATCCATTTTTCTTGTCATTGATTCTGAAGAACGCCGGCGACCTAGACAAACCACACTAGTTTTGGTTCAATCACAGTCAGAATGGTGCGTGCAGCCGTCTCAATTCCTATTGATTGCACAAACTACCACGATGTACCTTCCTAAAGGCCCTGCAAAACCTAACTGACTCACTGCATCTCTGGCTATAGCCCATAAGAGTAACAGACTTCCTAAATCTGGATAAAGGAGCACAAATGGATTATAAACACAAAATGTATATTACTGCAACAGCAAGTAAAAACGACGTTGAAATTGGTAGAGCCGAACTTTTAATACCTTCCACCTTGTGAACACCTAAATCGGGTTTCCTTAAGGTCCCTAAAATTTGGAAGTTCCATTCGAAAATCTTCGTAATACCGAAAATCAGGTGATACCGTGCTTGGAAATGGGATCCAAAACCTCCAAAATATCCGCCGAAATGTCAAATTAGATCTCATTTGCTTTGGAATTAGGACACACCTCCAAAATGTCGAAAATCAGAAAATATCGTTCTATGGGGACTACACCAAAGGGTGAGGCCACATGGAATATTGTTTAGTGGAAAGTTAAACTACCCTCTAGGAATGTTAGACATCAAACTACAGCAGATTTTGGACAGAATCTAGGACCAAAACCTCCAAAATACCGAAGATGCTGTCATATGGGAAAGATAATATACTAATCTTTTAAGGATCGTACATAGCA